AAGGATTTTCTTACAGAGTGTTCGTCTATCTCGTATGGGGGGCGCAGACAGGCTTATATACCTTCTGTGCCCCATATCCACTCCCTGTCATCTCCTGACACGTGGCTCTGCTATCCCATCTGTCAGCTTAAACCATGCCGTTCATCACCTGCTCTCAACTGCCTGCCAGCATAGCTGGAGCTCGGCAGCCGAGCTGCCCTACCTCGGTCATACCATGCTTCATACCTTAAGCGCCCGACCGGATAACCGAATGAAGGACCGGGCTAGGCGGCATCTCGGCAAAGCTTAGCCCGGGATCCTCCTTTGGTCGGTCTTCTCGCCGGTCAGTCAACTACCTCGGCTGACCGCGCCTTTCCGAGCGCCGGCCTCTCGGTCTGTCTGATCTCGACAATCCTCAGACCGAGCATCCTGGTCTGACCGGTCACTTCCTGGCCGAGCACCTTCTGCACGGTTCGGGGCAGCACATAGTCCAAACTCTGCCCGGCCCAAGTTCTGGTAGCCCATCTCCGGGCGAACAGTCGATCATCTCGGCCCACTGCTCTGCTGGGCCCCCAACCTGTTCGGTTTATACCTCGGCCCAACGCCGGAGTATAAATCACCCTCTCAGTTATGTACATGTTGCATTTGCGGATGAGAGAATCTTTATTTATTCTTACAAATGATATAAAGAGTTTCTGCATGTTATCTCTGTAATTGCATAAACTTAATGAATTTGGTAATGGACTCCGAGTAATAAAATGTGGGGCGTGACAGGATGTGTATTGAACTAATGTGTTACGAAAATAATGAAAGATGTGTTGGCATTGCCCACTAATTGTAATGATGGATTGCGATGTTACCTTAGGGTCCGTTTCCCGTCGTATTTTGAGCCAGCAAAGTGTGGCGCGTGAGATAGGTTCCGCCTTCGTTCCAGAGTAGCGCGCAGTAAAGTGTGTGGTATGTTGAGGTTCCGTATTAGCGTGAGGTTCCACGTTCCTTCCAGCTTGTGACCGGTAAAGCGTGAGGTTCCGCATTCCTTCCGACTTGTGACTGGTAAAGCGTGTGACTCATAGAGATGACTTGATATTGGATCCAGTATTTGATATGAAATTAATTGAAGGAATGGAAAATGAAATGGTAATTGGATTAAGGATTAGTGATGATAAACTCAATAGATTGCTTGTGACTATAAAGGAAGATTATGAGTTTTGTTTTGTAAATAATTGAGAAATTGAATTAAAAAGGGTTTGTCATTCTTGTGTTATGTTTGAAATATAATCCTTTGGATTTTGATGTTATGGAGTATAGTAATTGGAAATAGTATAAGGGAAAAATGAAAATAAAATAAGGAATATTAAAATGGAAATGAAATGAGGAATAATTTGGAGTCGGGTTAATAAATTTAAGATGATGTTCTTTCTTAAGTGTACTTGTTTTTAAAGAGAATTTTACGGCTTACTAATGATGAGAGACTACATATATGACAGGGAGTTTTCTTAAAGGTTCAAATGAAATTTTAAGAAAAAGATACTCTTCGTATAATATTTTGAACTTACAAGATGTCACCTTACTATATGGTATCACATTGCATGCATAATCATTTCTATTTGTGTGTTAGTTATTGTTATAGAACTATGAGATTCCTACTGGGCATTAGTGCTCATCCCTTGTTGTTTTATTCTTTTTCAAGAAGAGAAATTCGAATTGATTAGTCAAAGAGTTATGGAGTCCATGTATCTTTTATGTATAATTTCATCATAGATGTGAAAGGAATGAGGCAATTATTTGTTTGTAGCTTCGCAGCAGAAGCTTGGCATTTATTATTACTATTATTGTTATTATTGTATTCATTGAAAGAGAGAGAACATGTATTATTGTGTTTCTATTACTCAAAGGTAATGGATATTTGTTTTTTTTAAAAAAATGACCTAAATTACAGGCTTTGGTAACTAAAATTTGGGACGTGACAACTCCACTCTCCAACAGCAAGTCGACAATATATACAGAAAGGGGGCGACATCGTAGAATGGAAAGAATTTTCATCGAAGATGAATAGTCCTTCGAAGAACAGAGACGAACTCTAGAGGGGAATACTTGAAGAAGCAGAAACGGAAGAACAATTCTTTGCACTTTGCAAAGAAAGATGTCCCACCGATTACGTCACAAAATGAAGTAGTAAAAAAATAGGCAGAAAATAATATTTTGTTGGTAAGTCGAAATTTTGTACAATACGAGTTATGCCAAAATTGTTGTCTCTCCGTTTGAAGGGAAGATGACTAGATTAGATTAGCGATACAAAAAAATAATATCAACAATTTATATACTAACGAAGAACTCTTCTCCTCCTTTAATAATAAGAACCAGAATAGTGGCCCATCTGCCCAATCTCCCTCTATCTCGAAGGACCCTAAAAAACAGGAAAAACTGCATGGGCTAGAAGTCTTGGACGACACAATTACTTCTCTGACAGAATAAACTTCAAGGACTACGATCAAGACGCCGTCTACAACATCATAGATGACATCAAATACTCGACAGTCCCTACCAAATTAATGAAAAATTTAGTAGATTGTCAGAGAGACTTCCTTTTATTTGTTAAATTCTAACTAGATCTCACTATTAGAGGAGAAATTCCTTACATTATATTAACTAAGAGCATCCCCACCAGTTTACCTCAATTTTACCCTAAAATATTATTAAAAAATTCATTCCCTATTTTAGGAATCACTTTTTCATTTACTTCCCCCAACAGACTCCCTATTATTTCTCTATTCTATTAAAATAATATTTTTCATTACTTTTAAATTTAAATATTTTTTTAATAATAAAATAATAAAAACAAAAGCAATAAAATAATAAAAACAAAAGCAAGAGCATACACAACATGATATAGCTTCTGTGCAACGAAAGGCGGTCGACCGGCTGGATGACCGGGCGGTCAACTGGGTGGATGTCCGAGGGACGTCTGGGCGTGCCTTTAAAACGAAACAAAATAAGAATTTACCCTGAAATATTATTAAAAATTTCATTTCTTATTTTAGGAATCATTTTTTCATCTATTTCCCCCAACAAATTTCTTATTCTTTCTCTATTAAAATATTATTTTTTTAATTATTTTATATTTTATATTTCTAGGGATGGAGATGCTCAAGGTTGAATAAAAAATAATTTTATATTTTTGGGGAGTGAACAATGGCTCCCTACATTTAGGGAGCAACTGTAGCAACACTTTTATTTGAGGAGGTAGGTTAAGGGATCTGATGGGGGTTCTTTTTTACAGTAAAATCCCTTATTTTGAGTAAGGACACCATATAAGGCATCTGCTAGGGATGCTCTAAAGGGGACAGTAGTTAGTTAGATGCAATGTCTCCAAAAAATGATAAAATTGTTTGATGTTAATGTAATCACTATCATGATTAACGAAAGATTTTATTATTTTTATTTATGAAATCACTCAAACTTTTATTTACTTACTATATTTCCCTTATCATCAACTATTACATCTTGAAACACATCACTATTTTTTACACTCATTATTACATTTCTTAAAAATATCAGAAAATTATGCTGGATCCATAACAACTGATCCTTTCCGATCAACTTCTTATTTTCTAACACCAACCTTCGAAATCGATGGACTAGAATCAACATCATTAGTTTCATTACTATCTCTGTGTACATCAATCTCAGACAAAGTATATGCAATATGTGGAGTCAATATGTGGAGTCATTTTTATTAAGTAATTAAAAGAAAAAAAAACACATTTTTTGTGTGGTGATTTTTCATTGATAAGAAATATTACATAAACAATATAATTTTTTTTTATTTTCAAATTATCTAATACTTTTTTAGCAAGGCTTATGTCTAGTTCATATAAACAACAATGATTCATTCCCCCTTTTCCTCTCACCCCCTTTGACCCCCTCTCTCTCTCATTAGTTACATTTTATTTTTCTTTTTCTTTTTTTTCTGCTCCTCCAATCACCACCCGCCACATGACAAAGGGGGGGTGAGGGGGTGACCCTCAAAAAGGGGTCCCAAGCATTATTCTTCATATAAATAAACTAGAGGTGCAGTTTGCTTATATGGATCCATAATGCCCATCTTAATAATTTAAATTATTCATCTTGTAACAATTATTAAGAAAATTATTTATATAAAAAAATAAAGTTTATTGGATATCGGTATCCATGATTGGATCACAAATTGATATTAAAACAAATTATTCATTTTTTAAAATCATACTTATTATTCATTTTTTAATAATTTTATGATCTAATTATTTGACTACAAATATCTAATCAATTTAATTCTTTGGTAAATTATAAATACATCTCATGTATAATAATAAAATTACCTAAATAATTAATTAAAATAAATTTTGAACATTATTAAAAACTACTAATTGACTTAATAATTTATTAATAAAATGAGTCATTTATTATGAAATTATAAACTTTAAAGAGTATGATATAATTTTTAAAATTACAAAAAAAAAAAAAATCCTTGTTTCAATTAAATTTCAGAAGTATATATATAAATTATACTTAATTTTTTTAAATAAATAATTTGCGCAACAAATTTTACAAAATATTTTAAACTATCAATCTAAGGGATGGTTTGGGATGGTCTAAATAAGTGTATTTTTTACTTTTTATGAAATATGGGTTGAGCATGAGTTGAATTTGAAGTGATACGGTAAAGAGATAATATAACTTAAATAAGATGATGTAACTTAAATAAAACAATAACTTTTTAATTTTTTTAAATAATGACAAACAATGCCTAAATACCGTCTAATCCATTTTCAATAGATTGGAGAGAAGCCTAATGATAATTTGTCCACGACCTCACTCCTCTCTTTTCCATAATGGAGAGAAAGGTGTACATTATCACGCCTACGCTATCCATTTGTGATTTCTGCTTACGTGGCCCAATAGGAAGAGGCCTACTATTGCCAATCATCTGGACACCTCAGAGAGAGAGAGAGAGAGAGAGAACTGCTATAAATATTCAAACCAAAATGCAAAGCAAAGCCTCTGGTCCCTTGAACACTCCCTCATTCATTCACATCACAACACACTGCACTCTCTCTCTCTCTCTACATTGCCACCAAGCAACTACCCACCAGCACATGTAGTGGGAGGACAGGTACCAAACTTTCCCCCTCTAGAAAACTCTCTTTCTCTCACTTTCTCACAGAGCAAACAGTCTAAACTGGTTATAGTTTCTTGCTCGAAACAGACAACATTATATCTTGGTGATCCCTATGAAGGGAGCTACCTGAACCTGCGAGAGTGGGAGGATTTTCTTGTAAAAAAAAAATAAAAAAAAGGTTCTAAACTTGTTTTGGTATCTGGGTTCTTCATCTTTCAAGCTCTTATTACCTTCCTGGGGTCTAGAGCTTTATCTCTCTATAATGGCTCTTTGTACGTCCTCATTTCCCGCCAATTTCAGCCGAGCAGTGGCTTTGGATCTCCACAAGCACAGCTCTCTCACTCCTAATGTGTTCTTGGGAACAGATCTATACTCTCAATTTCAACACAAGCTCAATCAGGTTTGAAAACACAATTCTCTCATTTATGTTTTTACCATAACAACAATTTGGATTTTGTTGATTTTTTCCTTCTCTGTTTCATTTTGCATTTACATATATAGCTATGCTTCTTTGTATGCATAGCTTGCCTATCTTGATTGAAATTGTATTTATTTGTATGTGATGGATTCAAATTACGGAAATAATATTTTTATACGCCGAGATAAGACTATGTGCATCTTACTCTAATAGAGTTAAATGAGTTTCGTGCACTGAATCCGCCTTTTATATATTTTTATTTAAGTTTAAGAGAGAGATTAATTGAAAGATATGGATTGTTTTTGGACTTGTTTGGTTTCACAGGTCAAGAAAAGGCCAAGTGGGGTTTATGCATCACTGTCACACAGAGAGGAGTATCATTCACAGAGGCCAGCAACACCTCTCTTGGACACCATCAACTATCCAATCCACATGAAAAATCTTTCCATAAAGGTAGATAATTAAAATCACACATATCCACATGTACTTTGTTAATGTACATTGTATAATTTACCATCACCTACCACACACTTACCGTCACCTACCACACACTCACCTACTCCTTACCTACCACCACCTACTCCACTACACCTACATCTATACAAGGAACCCATCATACCATTTGTAATACACAACAAGCACACATCTATCAATAACATCAATATATACACAATTTCTGTCTTTCTCTATACAGTAATTCTTACATACTTATTATATACATACGTGCATACCCATATGCTTAAATTAGTCAATTTTGGTTTAAATCAAACATTTGGTTCAGGAATTGAAGCAACTTTCAAACGAGCTTCGTTCTGATGTCATCTTCAATGTTTCCAAGACTGGGGGACACCTCGGTTCAAACCTTGGCGTTGTCGAGCTCACAGTGGCTCTTCACTATGTCTTCAGTGCTCCTCAGGACAGAATTCTTTGGGATGTTGGTCATCAGGTGACAATCTCACCTTAATCTTTCTAAACAAGTGATTGGGTAGTAGAGAATTAGTTTTGTTGTCTTTTCTTTTTCTCTCAAAATCATCCATTCCAAACGGATTACCACTGAATTGTGCAGTCTTACCCACACAAAATCTTGACTGGGAGAAGAGACAAGATGCACACCATTAGACAGACAAATGGGCTGTCAGGATTTACAAAGCGCTCAGAGAGCGAGTATGATTGCTTTGGCACAGGCCATAGTTCAACCACCATCTCAGCAGGCTTGGGTAATCCTCTGTCCTGCTCTACTTATTGCAAAACTGAAATTAGAACAAGAATTTTAAGAACTACTTGTCGTAACTATTTATCATTTATGCGGGGCCATGACTGTAGTGGCGGGATAAGACTGCATACATCTCACCCTTCTCAGACTTCGCAGTACGTAGCAAGAGCCTCATGCACTGGGCTTCCCCTTTTAACTAATTATCATTTAATTTTATGAGTTATGCCTCGTGCTGTTTTTTCGTGGACAAAAGATCCATGCTTGTTTGATGATGAATTTTTGAATTCTCCAAATGATGGACAATCAGCTTTTATTAGTTTGTTTAAGAATTTTTGACAAAATTGGCTAGTTTTTTATACATGTCTTCCTCAATAGTATATCAGATTAATTTCACTGTCATGAAGATGCTTAACATTTCCTTTTATTTTGTTCCAAGCCAAATTAGGAGCCTTTATGCAATTTCTTTCCAAAAATTTTATCTTTGGCATGTCTTGAACGGACAGGGATGGCTGTGGGAAGGGACTTAAAAGGAAGAAAGAACCGTGTAGTTGCTGTTATAGGTGATGGTGCCATGACAGCAGGTCAAGCTTATGAAGCCATGAACAACGCAGGGTACCTTGATTCAGACATGATTGTCATTCTTAACGACAACAAACAAGTCTCTTTACCCACTGCTACTCTAGATGGGCCTATACCACCTGTTGGAGCTTTGAGCAGTGCTCTAAGTCGGTTACAATCAAACAAGCCTCTCAGAGAATTAAGAGAAGTTGCAAAGGTTAGTAATACATCACTGGAGTGATAATGGAGACACGCTTCGATCCTAATGATGCTTTCACTGAACTTGTTTCTATTGTATTGAGATTGTTGCAGGGAGTGACTAAACAAATTGGTGGGCCGATGCATGAACTTGCTGCGAAAGTTGATGAATATGCTCGGGGAATGATCAGTGGTTCTAAATCAACGCTGTTCGAAGAACTTGGACTCTATTATATTGGTCCTGTTGATGGTCACAACATAGATGATCTTGTTTCAATTCTTAGAGAGGTTAAGAGCACTAAAACAACAGGTCCTGTCCTCATCCATGTTGTCACTGAGAAAGGCCGAGGATATCCATATGCTGAGAAAGCCGCAGACAAGTACCATGGTAAATTCAGAAATTACAAATTAAAAACAAAATTTTTGCTTAATTATGATTTGAGCACTGCAATTAATCATTTAAAACCAATTTTCATAATATTGTGGACAAATATGCTCATTTTAGATGTCATGGGAGAGAAAATTTGTCACGACCCCAAACCGCCCCTAGTAGTTTGGTGCCGTGATGGCCAGTAATTCGAGATTACCGAAGGCCAACTTACAAAATTCACACACATACAGAGTATAGATGCATGGGGCTCTCAAGTGCGGAAGGAAAATTTAGAATACAAGTGGTCCATAAGAGCTGTGCATAAGTCAAATGAGATAGCAACCATTCACATATGGGTTATAACTTAATAACAAACAAGCAAGGTGCAAATTATATTTTCCGTATTAGCAAAGGGCTCCACAAGCCGACATAAACAAATTGTACGAATTACAGGTTTAAGTACACAGTCTGCCAGGTTGCCGACATAACAATCATACAAAAACATACATCTTGATCAAAAGGCTTCTCAGCTGACGTGTTCGAAATACAAATATTACAAGTCGAGAAGCATGATTTTCAAAACTGCCGACATAAATGCAGGTTAAGCCGACATAATCAAGACCCAAAACAAGCTCCAGAAATCACATCTAGGCGTCACCGCCTTCTTGTTCATCACCTACATATATATAGAGAGGGTGAGCTTGAATACTCAGTGAATGGTATAAATAATAAAAGGGTTTGCATGAATAACAGTCGAAATCCTTTCAAAACAATACAAGACAAACTCTATATATAACAAGGAATGGACCTCGCCCATCAAACAATTCTTCAAAGTTTCAAGGGATACTTGCTAGCATCATATATCACAAATGACAACATTTCGGCAACAGGTCCGCGCAGTAAACCGTCCGTGGCAAATCAAGACAAAGCAAAAGAGACATCTCAACTAAGGGTGCTACAAAAGTTTAGAGTCCTCTAGCACAAGGGACTTTCAAGACAAGATGTGCTGCGAAAGTTTAGAATCCTCCAGCACGAGGGACCTATGTTACAAAGGCCCGTAGCCCTTTAACACGAGTACAAATCAAGGGTGCTGCGAAAGTTTAGAGTCCTCCAGCACAAGGGACTTTCAAAACAAGATGTGCTGCGAAAGTTTAGAGTCCTCCAGCACAAGGGACTTTCAAAACAAGATGTGCTGCGAAAGTTTAGAGTCCTCCAGCACAAGGGACTTTCAAAACAAGATGTGCTGCGAAAGTTTAGAGTCCTCCAGCACAAGGGACTTTCAAAACAAGATGTGCTGCGAAAGTTTAGAGTCCTCCAGCACAAGGGACTTTCAAAACAAGATGTGCTGCGAAAGTTTAGAGTCCTCCAGCACAAGGGACTTTCAAAACAAGATGTGCTGCGAAAGTTTAGAGTCCTCCAGCACAAGGGACTTTCAAAACAAGATGTGCTGCGAAAGTTTAGAGTCCTCCAGCACAAGGGACTTTCAAAACAAGATGTGCTGCGAAAGTTTAGAGTCCTCCAGCACAAGGGACTTTCAAAACAAGATGTGCTGCGAAAGTTTAGAGTCCTCCAGCACAAGGGACTTTCAAAACAAGATGTGCTGCGAAAGTTTAGAGTCCTCCAGCACAAGGGACTTTCAAAACAAGATGTGCTGCGAAAGTTTAGAGTCCTCCAGCACAAGGGACTTTCAAAACAAGATGTGCTGCGAAAGTTTAGAGTCCTCCAGCACAAGGGACTTTCAAAACAAGATGTGCTGCGAAAGTTTAGAGTCCTCCAGCACAAGGGACTTTCAAAACAAGATGTGCTGCGAAAGTTTAGAGTCCTCCAGCACAAGGGACTTTCAAAACAAGATGTGCTGCGAAAGTTTAGAGTCCTCCAGCACAAGGGACTTTCAAAACAAGATGTGCTGCGAAAGTTTAGAGTCCTCCAGCACAAGGGACTTTCAAAACAAGATGTGCTGCGAAAGTTTAGAGTCCTCCAGCACAAGGGACTTTCAAAACAAGATGTGCTGCGAAAGTTTAGAGTCCTCCAGCACAAGGGACTTTCAAAACAAGATGTGCTGCGAAAGTTTAGAGTCCTCCAGCACAAGGGACTTTCCAAGAAGGTCATCAAGACAAGGTCATACTTGGTATACAAAACAAGGACAATTATTCATGCTTAACAAACAC